AGATTTCCAAAGCCAGGCCCCTATACCCTATTTTAGCTGTTTTCAAAGTACGACAGCCTGCCCACAAGTCAATCAGTGTTAGACCGTTAGGAATAATTTTTTAAAAGGTTTATCTTTGCTATCACTTACATTTCAAGATACCATAATTTATAAGTACTGCAGATGTTACGTCATATATATCTGAATCTCTATATACCCATGAAGACCTTGTGTAGCCCATAAATGCTATAGTCATTAAACTACAACCAGAGCCTAGTAGATATAGCCTAACAGCAACAGACTTAAGTTTCTGTTTTCTCCTGTTTATTAAAAAATAATAATAATAATCTTCCACTTGGCCAAAACTCTGCCTGTGTATTCTTACTTTCTAGAATTTGCTAAGGTAGTACATTTAATGTATAAATATGTGTGTTTTCAGAGATTAACTCCCTTTGATCTCAAGTAGTTTTGCTGTGTCCTTACTAGCTACCATTGGTACTGCTAAAGATAATCTCTATTATTTTATTATCATTCAATAACTCATTTTGAACACCTTAAGTTTTCTTTGTGCCTATGCAAAAACAGAAGTACCTTTTGGTGTTTTATTTTCCAATAAAAGTTTTTAAATATTTTGGAAACTTTCTAAATACTATCTAAAACCATTGTTATTTCAGAATTAAGTATTCATTCTAAAGTAAAGTAAAATTTGTAAAATACTTTCTTATATTTAAGGAGGGAGTGTTAGCTTTAAAAGGGAGATTAGAATCTCTTCCAATCTCAACAGCAGCACCTTGTACAACTAAAGATGCCAAAAAAAGATGAAACTGACATACTGGAGTTCGGACACATGGTAGAAAGTAATTTATTCCAAAGAAATTGGGTGAAACTGCAAATAAGAAATGAAAATATAGCAAAAGTTATCTTTCTCTCTTTGTTTCCTAGATGTTGATAGCATGTGAACCAGTATTTCCCAAATGACCTATAATGCTCTAAAATTATGCATGGGTAAAAAAGATAATGTCAGAGAGCAAATAAGGTTCATTGATACAGTTCCAGATTCTACCATTACAATTAACCTTCAAGAATATACCACTTGTCAAATTTTGGTGTAGCAGCAAAGAATATCCACAATTATCTGAAAAGGCTATTAAAATACTCTTCTTTTTTTGCCAACTCCCTATCTCTGATTGGAGAGCAGACTCAAGAACTTCGAAATCTCCATTTAAGAGGAGACTCGGCATGGACACCTCAATTTCCTGCCTGGCTGCAGGACTTCTCTGATCTCCCCACTATTCCCTCAAGGCAGATAAATTACCCAATCACCCTCCCTTTTCAGCTTCTGTTTTTTGTTTTGTTTTGTTTTTTGGGGGGGAGAAGAATTGTCTTCCCCCATTAGATACTAAGCTTCTTGAGAGCCAGGATTGTCATTCTTTTTTCATGTTTGTAGCCCCAACACTTAGCACAAGGTCTGGCACATGGTAGGGGCTTAATAAATATTTACTATTGACTATATCTGTGATTTTCTTCATATTGTTGTTGAGTCATTTCAATCCTGTCCAACTCTTTGTAACCCCATTTGGGGTTTTTTTTTTTTGGCAAAGATACTAGAATGGTTTGCCATTTTCTTCTCCAGCTCATTTTACTGGTGAGGAAACTGAGGCAAACAGGGTTAAGTGACTTGCCCAGGGTCCCACAGCTAATAAGTGTCTGAGGCCAGATTTCAGCTCATGAAGATGAGTCTTCCTGATTCCAAGACTAGTGTTCTATCCACTGCTCCACCTAGTTGCCCTAATTTATTCATATACTTCAACCACAACAACATATTAAATGCAGACACAGACATGAAAATCCAACTTCTATTAAGTCAGACATTTACGCAATCTGCCAAATTTTTTTTTAAAGTCATTTTTCTCACTAATTTTTTTTAAAAAAATTTTTTAATAAAAAATGTTGTTAACATGTGATGGCTTTATTGTTGGTATTTTTAATGAATTAATAAACTTTTAAAATTTATTAATTTATTTGTTAATTTTTGTTTTTTGGTTAGGCAATTGTGGTTAAGTGACTTGCCCAGAGTCAAACAGCTGGTGTTATGTGTCTGAGGCCATATTTGAACTCTGGTCCTCCTGATTCCAGGGCTGGTGCTGTATCCACTGTGCCACCTAGCTGCCCCTACTTGTTAATTTCTTATACTGTAAATATAAAAAAATATAACCCACATAAACAAGAGCTTCTGCGCGGTTAATTTAAAGGGTCCTGTGACCAAAAAGTTTGAGAATTGCTGTACTACACTATACTGCCTCTAATAAAGTATCACCTGTATGAAGAAATCAAAGATATCTACAATGCTATGAAAAAACGCTCCAAATCATTATTGATTAGAGAAATGCAAATTAAAACAACTCTGAGGTACCACCTTAGGCCTATTAGATTGGCAAATATGACAGGAAAGAAAAATTATAAATGTTGGAGAAGATGTGGGAAAACTGGGGCACTAATACATTGTGAACTGATGGAACAATTTTGGAAAGCAATTTGGAACTATGACCAATCAAACTGTGTATACCCTTTGATCCAGCAATACCACTACTAGGACTGTATCCCAAAGAAATCATAAAAAAGGGAAAAGGACCTACATGTCCAAAAATATTTATAGCAGCTCCTTCTGTGGTGGCAAAGAATTGGAAATTGAGGGAATGCCCATCAAATGAGGAATGGCTGAACAAGCTGTGGTATACGGATGTAATGGAATATTATTGTGCTATAACAAATGATGAGGGGGATGGTTTCAGAAAAAACATGGGAAGACTTAACTAAACTGATGCTGAGTGAAGTAAGCAGAACTAGGAGAATATTGAACACAGTAACAGCAATACTGTTTGATGATCAACTATGATTGACTTAGCTCTTCTCAGCAATACAATGATACAAGACAATTTCAAAGATTCATGGAAAATGCTATCCACATCCAGAGAAAGAACTGATGGAGTCTGAATGCAGACGGAAGCATACTATTGTAATTTTTTTTCCCCATGATTTTTTCCTTTTGTTCTGTTTCTTCTTTCACAATAACTAACATGGAACTATGTTTTACATCACTACACACATATAACCTATAACTGGGGGAGGGGGAGAAAAATTTGGAACTCAAAATCTTATTTAAAAAATGAATGTTGAAAATTGTCCTTACATATAATCAGAAAAATAAAATACTATTTACATTACTTTTTTATAATTTAAAAAACAATGTATCATCTGTACAAATCTGTTTTTACTACAACTTCTGAAAGAAAACAAAATCATTTGGAAGACAGTGTGATGCCAGGGAAATGGCACTGAACTTGGACTTAGGGGACCTGGGTCAGCATCTTGGTTCTGTTACTTAATACTTCTGAGATCCTTGTCAAGTAATAGATCCTTTCTGAACTTCAGTTTCCTCATCTGTAAAAAGAGTAATCTGCATCAGCCCTCTAAGGTCCCTTTCTAATCAATGGCCCTATTGCCATTTATTGCATATCTATCCCTGTACAATATGTATCAAACAACATGTACAAATACTGTTCTGGATTACTGAAAGACTATTTTCTAACTAGAAAAGACACACAACATAAAAGCCTTTTAATCTTGACTCAAAAGGCAAGAACTTCAATCAGGTTGCTGGTAGTTGCTCTTAGATTCAATACTTTGGGAAGGGTAACATTCCCAAAGCCAACCCCCCCCCCACACATTAATAATCATTAAATATCTATAAAAACAGTTGCTTCACAAAAAAGCTTCTAGAGTTTTTAATAAATGGTATTCCTAAAGGAAAAGTGTCAGCAGAACCCTAAGTAACAGACATTTTCCAGAGGAAATTCAACAGTTCAGACCCTTTTAAAAATTACAGGAATCTGAAAAGGGATCAGGTAACAATAATTACATATTTAGGTCTGGAAGGGTCTTAGATCATCTATTTCAACTCCTTCATTTTACCGATGAGGAAGGAAAAGGGAAGCCTCAGAGGTGCAGCAAACTGCCCGAGGTTAAACAGTGAACCAAGGCCAGGTCTCCTTCCACTAGAATACACTACTCAGCAAGCTTCTAACCCTTAGCAGCCTTATCATTAACCTAAAAATGCACACCTTGCCCGGGTTAAAAGTCCCAAAACGAGAAATGGATGACCCAATGACAAGATCCAGATGCTGATGCACTCAGAAGTGTCCCATTTTGCAGACGAGGAACACATCTCAATAAATGACCCTAGAAGAGGGCAGTGTGGTTGACAGGGGAGAGGCAGTTCTGATTATTCTCAGGGCTGCAGGCGGGTGAAATACATTAATTACAGTGGAGCCATCCCGGGCTGCGGCTCTCAGCAGACACTCAAACAACAACTAGGTGTGGGGGAGACCAGCAGGTGAGGGGCCACGAGTGGGCGGCCCAGCTCCCGGCAGGAGCCTCACTGGGTTGAGTGGCAGGTGAGCAGCTTGGCCAGACACATTTCCAGTCCTGCAAGCGCACTCCTGGAGAAACATACTGGCAGGACGGGGGGGGGGGGGGACGGGGGCTCTAAAGGACAGGTCCACTTCAGGGTGCCCAAGGTAGGTGCAAAACACGAGAAACTCTAAGTGCTCGCCAGAGTAGGAAGTCGGTGCGGCAGGAGAAAATATCCCGGAGGGTGAACGTGAACTGGGGGAGGGGCAGAGGGGGAGGTAAGAAAGCCAGGTGGCGGCTAGATGGGGCAGTGGGTAAAGAGCGCCGGGAGTCAGGAAGACCCGAGTTCAAATCCGACCTCGGACACTTACTAGCTGGGTGACCCTGAGCAAGTCACACTTTTCCCATCTGTAAAATGGGGAAAACAAGTGACCCCCCCCACCTCCTAGAGTTGTGGTCACGACCGAATGGGATACCCTTAGTTTGTCAACTTTAAAGCACCACGTGAGCTGCCGTCATTTCAAGGGCTGGGGCGCACGAAGGTCCCCCTGAATACCCCAGGGTCCAGGGCTGCCCGTTTCAATTTCTCCCGCCCGGCCCCCGGCTCTCACCAGCCCCAGGAAGGCAGCGTAGACCACCATGGAGGTGAACCAGCGCAGCGCGTTACCGGCCCCGCATCTCCCGCCGCTGTCCCCGTACACCTCGGCGTCCGTCCCCAGCGGCTCCCCAGCTTCGGAGGGCCCCGTGGGGAGGAGCCGTTGTGCGGCCGGGGCCGGGGCCCCGCCGCGGTGCAGCTCCAGCTCCTCCAGCTCTGCTGCTCTCGAGAAGCAGCCGCACCGCCCCAGAGCCGCGGGCTACTGCGGTATCTGCCGCGGGGCACGAGGCACGAGGCGCCGCCGGCCCGTTCCCGCCCTCCAGGCCCCGTCGCGAGTCTACTACTGCGAGGCAGCCCCTCAGCCCGCGGGCTCCATCCTCTGGAGGAGCGCTGGAGATCCGCTAACCAGCCCACGCGTTCCCTGCCGGGCGCTTGGCGCATGCGCTACGACGCCCCCTCGCTTGAACGCGCAGTTTAAGTTCCCCTCCCTACCGGAAGTTGGTAAAGTTGCTAGACGGACAGGACGCCGCGCTTCTCGTTTTGTCGTCACGTCCAAGCCCCGCCCATGTAACGGCTGTGGACTAGCTTCTTTGGACTTTTGTGGCTGCCTCCTTCTGAGGTCTAACTGCTTTTATCCGAGGTGGAGCGGAGCACCCCGGGGCCGCCGCCTTGTTTCTGGCAGGCGTTTGTGGAGGGCCAGGACCGTGATAGAGGCGAGGGGGCAGGAATATGCACGGCCTGGGGAGAAAGAACGGGACCGCTCTGGAAGACTCCCATTCTGGGACCCTGAGGAAGAGGAGAGGGAGAGGAGAGGGCGGGAAATCCTCGCCCACTTCCACTTCCTTCCTGCCTCGTTCTCGCCTCGCTCCTGCCCCAACGACCGTTCAGTGCTCCTAGGATCGACCTCGGTCCCAGAGCCGAGGCCCCATCTATTCCTCTCTGCATTTCGATGGAAGAAAGTTTTAAGAAAGCGCCTTCCTTGAGCAATGGACAAGGCATGGAATTCGGAGCCATGGCCTGGTGAGAAAAGGAGGGAATTTAGAGTCACAGGACCACAGTTCGAAATTGTCCCTGTATGACCTTGAGCCAAGCCACTTAACCTCTTTGAAGTTTCTTCCACTATAAAATGAGAGGGTTGGACTCCTTTACCTTTGAGTTTCTTCCAGATCTAGAGATAATTATATTAGTCAACATTTATTAAATGCCTACCTTGTGCCAGATACAAAAATAGAAAAAAGACAGCCCCTGCTCTCAAGAACTTTACATTCTACTACTGGAGACAACATGTAAACAAATACATATACAAAGCAAGCCTTATACTGGACAAGTAGGAAATAGTGAACAGAGGGAAGGCACTGGAATTCAGAGGAATTAAGAATTGGGGAAGGCTTCTTGTTGGAGGTGGGATTTTATATAATGAGTGAGAGGACCTGGGTTCAAATTATGACTGCCACTTTGATCGTCACTAAGACATTATCGCTACCACAAAGTCGTTTTCCCTCTCATAACACCTAGCCCAGGACCTGGAATATACCGAGTACTAGTTGCTGTTCATGTTGACAAATAGAAAAAAAAAAATGTTGTCTTGAGATTGTAACATTCTACCCAAGGCAAATCGGGTCTGAGGCGTGAGATTGGACAATTCATTTAAACACTCTGGGCCTCAGCTTTCTCTGTAAAATGAGGGAATGGAGAACTTATAAGGTCTTTTCTGTATCTAAATCTGTGATATTGTAATCCCTTAATGGGATATATATAGAATCTTGCTCAGTGAATTAAAGTAATTTCTGTAATTTTTTCTTCCAAAAACTTCATTAACTTTAGGGTTTGATTTTCATTTGATTTCTGTAACTACATAGGAGGTTAGGAGTAAAAGGAAAAGTAAAACTGGTTTTGCCTTAGGTAGAATCCTATGATCAGGAAACTTTTTTTTTTTTAAATTTCTCAATATGAACATCATTGGGCATCTACTATATTCCAGGTGTTCTGGTGTTCTGGTATTCTGGATTGGGTGTTATGAGAGGAAAAATGTCTTGTTCTGAGATGTCACAGTCTCCTAATGCCCCCAAACACTCCCTTGTTTCTTGTGTCCATTTTGTCAGTTCTTTGGGCTGTATTTCCACCTTTCCTCGGTCATTTGGACAGTACTATTTTATTTTCTTGCTTGTTTTGCTCCCTGGAAAGATTACATAGTAATTCTTCTTTCAACTTCATCCTGGTTTTACTGCTAAACACTGGAAAAACAAGAAGTTGGTAAACTAAGGAAAAATTGATGCATTTGCCTGTCTTATCAATTTCCTACATAAGAACCAATGCAATTTAAGTATGTCACTTTAGGATTTACACGGCTTTTTCCTGACAACAATCTTGTAAATTGTACAAGTATTATTCTCTTCATTTTACAAATGAAACCATGTTTCAAACCTAGGTCTCTTAACTCCAGGTCCAGCACTATTTAACATCAAGCACCTCACATACCTCCCTCCTCCCTGTCTTCTAGATCTTACCCTAGACTGGGCATCAACTATGATTTGCAGAAATCATAACTAAGGACTCAAGTCCCTTGATTTGTCCAGAATAGATTTCATCTCACAAATCCCTCTCAATTGGTTAATGATTCCCACCCAAGGTTTCCTTAAGGACATCAGAATTTGATTCATTTTGTCCCCAGGATCAGATTGTGCCTTATACTTGGGTCTCTACAGGTAAGGTAAAAGGACTCAGTTCAAAGGATTTGATTGGACCTTTCCCCAGTGGAGTTTGTTGAGAGAGTCTGGCAGACTCCATATTAAGGCTCCCCCTGTTCTGACAAAACTCATCTTGTGTAATTTCTGTACAGAGACCATGCATGAGAAAAGCTCAGAATTGGAACCAAGTCCTATGCATAAAAATATAACTACTAATATGTATATCCATCAGAGATGGCCATAGCACAAAGAGCCCAGATAACTTTTGGGACATGTCATACCTCTTCAACTCAAACCTTTACCCAGAAAGTTGGGAAACCATTGGACAGCCCAGTAGTTGGCATCATCTGTCACCTTCAAGCATGATGGCAAGAATAATCTTCAAGTCAATTCAGTAAACATTTCCTAAGTGCCTTATATATTCAGAACTCTTGCTATGCCAGGAGAAGTAGAAGACTAGGAAAGACAGCCTGGGGGGCAAAAGATGCACAAATGCCTTTAATGCATAATATTATACATGATAAGCACATTAGAGGTTTGTTAAAAAAAAAATGTGCTATATGACATCTAAGGGGGAATGGCTTCATGGAGGACATGGCATTTAAGTTGGCTTTCATTGGTAGGATAATCTAAAAGGCAAAGAAGGGAAGAGAGAATATTCCAAGCATATGGAATACAATGAATAAAGGCAAAGAAGTGAGAAAGTATGAGGCATATACAGTGAACAAGGAGTGATCCTTAATCTTAAGGGTTCTCTTTGAAATAATCTCAAATTTATCCTAAATATATAGTTTGTTCATTGTTCCTTTCATGCTGTCTCATTAAACTGAGCTCCTTTTTTTTTTGCCTTTATATGCCCAGCACTTAGCATGGTAACTACCACATAGTAGGCACTTAATAAATGCTTATTGATAACCTGGCTAAGAAGAAAATCTGTTATGAGGAAGAGTTTCCTAACAATTGAGGCAACCCCAACATGACTAAATCACTAAGTCATATCCCCAAGTGATTTACTTTGAGGACTAAGTGACTAAAGCTGCTTAAGAAGTTAGGGGGTTTCCCCTCATGGAAGTCTTCAAGCAGAAGCTTATTAGACATGTTGTGGAGGGAATTCTTTTTTTTTCTTTTTTTATTAATTTATTTTGATTTATCAGTAATCACTTCCATATGCTTTTGAGTTTAAAATTTTTCTCCTCCTTCCTCCCCACCACCCTCCCCAAGACAGTGCACAATCTGATATAGGCTATACATTTACATTCATATTAAACATATCTTCACATTAGTGATGTTGTAAGTAAAAATTAAAACCAATGGAAGGAACCATCAGAAAGAAGAAACAAAACTCAACAGAAGAGAAAAAAGAATAGCAATTCAGCTTCCATAGTTCTTTCTTTGGATGTGGATAGCATTTTCCATCACAAGGCCTTTGGAGATGTCTTAGATCCTTGTATTTCTGGGAAGGGTTAAGTTTTTACCAGTATTAGTCATCGCACAACATGGCTGTTATTGTGTACAACGTTCTCTTGGTTCTGCTTATTTCACTCAGCATCAGACCATACAAGTCTTTCCAGGTTTTTCTGAAGTCTGCCTGTTCATCATTTCTTATAGCACAATAGTATTCCATTACATTCATATACCACAACTTGCTCAGCCATTCCCCAATTGATAGGCATCCTCTCAATTTCCAATTCTTTGCCACCACAAAAAGAACTTCTATGAATATATTTGTGCATGTGGGTCCTTTTCCCATTTGTGTGATCTCTTTGGGATATAGCCCTAGAAGTGGTATTGCTGGGTCAAAGGGTATGCTTATTTTGATAGCCCTTTGGGCATAGTTCCAAATTGCTCTCCAAAATGGTTGGATCATTTCACAACTCCACCAACAATTAGTGTTCCAAATTTTGCACATCTTCTCCAACATTTATCATTTCCCTGTTTTGTCATGTTGGCCAATCTGATAGGTGTGATATGGTACCTTGGAGTTGTTTTGATTTGCATTTCTCTAATCAATAGTGATTTAGAGCTTTTTTTCATATGACTATAGATGGCTTTTCTGAGAACTGTCTGTTCATATTGTGGAGGGAATTCTTGTTCAGGTTAGCCTGGGTTAGCCTGGAAGTCTTCTGAGGTCCCTTCCAGCCCTGAGGTTATATGCTTCTGAAAGTTTAAACCTTGTATGTCAGAGCAACTGAAAAATTCTGAGCAAAGAAGTTCTATATTAAAAAAAGGAGTCTAAGCAAACTGAAGTAGAGAGAGAAGGGTACAGAAATGGGATTACTTTTTAGGAGGCTCTGGGTATGTAGTGAAAGGTGTGTGGCAGTGGGGAGAAAGGTGGGTGAGGAGGCTCTTTATGAGAGAATAAAGGTAGAATTAACAAGACTTAATATTTCTTCTTGTATTTTGTTTCACAC